TTTTTTTTGGGCAAAACATCTGTGGCAGCCTGCTATTGGAGGTGATGCGAGCATCCTCCAATAGCAAGCTCTAGTTTATAGATGGCTCTGATCTATTGGTGGTCAGCATCACCTGCTGGAAACCGGGTCTAGCGTCCCACTGACAAAATCAGATAAGACAGATCTGGCAGAGCAGCATTGATTGCGCTTTCACGAGGGGATTGATTGTCAGCCAGGTTACAGCACGTGCTATGGTCCAGCCATGGAGAGAGTGACGGACTGCCCTCCAATCTACCCTAATCCTTCACAGTCATAGTTGCACACGGCAAACCCTAAGCCCCTCCCCCTGTAAGGCTGCTTCCCAACACTTTTTTTTTCTTTTTTCTTCCCAACACTGTGATTTGCACTTTCCACAATCGGAGGTCGTCTGCATATCCTCCCTTATCCTGAGACGTGTACCTGGTGAAGGTTATTCACAGATCATTGTTCATTGTTATTGTCACATGTCTGACAGGGGTTATAATAGTTCACCACATATCATTATTGTTAAGTGAACCTGCCCTTCCCCTATCAACTATCCAATCACCTGCCCTCCCCCTGAGCAAGACCACAGAACATATGAAAGGCAAGGCAGGCGAGAGAAAGGGAAAACAGAGAGAAACCATAGATCGAAGAGGGGCCCAGGCAGCTAGTGTTTATGCAAGACTCGAGCAACTGAAACACATCCCAAACCCACCGAGTCCCCTGCTCAACTGCCTGAGCCACCGTCACGAATATTGCCACATACCTTTCATGTAAAAAAAAATCGAGCCGCAGCGCTTCCATTGTCTAACCTCACCGCGGTTCAAGGGGGAGGAGACCATTCACCCTAAACACAACGAAACATTGGGCGTGCTTCTCCTCGCCGTTTTCATTCCGCGTGGCTGTACCGCGCTGTAGCTCATTAGTTTTTGCCTTTGGGAAAGGATGCTCCGCCCTTGCATAAGCAAAGAAAGCCCTGTCCACGTCCCCATAGTTCAGTAATTCATCACTCACCGTGTGATTGCCAGCATCAGGGTGCTGGATAGATGACAATCGGTTTTCAAAAGACCTTCCAGAGTAAGCGCCCGGATCGCGTGGCCTACCTCCGCCGAAGTGGTCGATGTACTCCCAAAGGGCCCAAACGAGGATGATGATGACGTTTGATTTTGAACGAGACAGCGAAACAGATTTCGAAAAATCTCCCAGAGCAGGTGCCCGGATCACCGCTTCTACTTTCTTCGAAGCTCCGTTGCTCGCCCCAACAGACTGAGGCTGACAGTCCTCAAACAATGGTGACACCATATGATCTTCACCCAATTCTTCACATGCGTGAGCAAATGGCTGCTGTTGCTGGATACAGAGTGGAGTAATTGGTGATGTCACTGTTGTAATTGTTGATGTTGTTAGTGCTGATGTTGTTCCTGTTGTCGATATTGATGCTGTTGATGCTGTGTGTGTCACGGTGTCCTGGCGGTTAGATGAGCACAACTCACCTGGTGGACCGCTCACGTCTCTTCTCGCTAGAAGCTCGACAAGTGTGTCTTTTACCTTCGTGAGCATCCCAGTGCACTCGCGTAGGCCATTCATCACCAGCGCTCTGTCAGTCCCATCCAACTGTTGGAGAGAGATCTGCTCATACAGTTCTTCCTCCCATCCCTCAAAGATCCCCTCTCCCTCCAACAAAATGTCATCTGGCAGGTTGTCACGTTCTTGAGCGAGCGGTTTGTGCAAAATCACAGTCGCTAGTGCTGGATTCGCCTCTGTCGGCCATGTGAGAGAGTCAACCGTGCGCTCCACAGGATAATGCAGGGCAGGAGAGGTGCCCAGCAGCCCCTCGTCACTTGTGATCGCCATCTCCATCACTGCCACTGTTGTTGGTGTAGTAGCCATTCTTCCCCTGATGCTCTCGTTCACTGCGACCACCACGTCACCAGTTAGCTTTTCGCCACTTGAGATGTTTTCCGTCGCTGCAGTGCTCCTTTCAAATGCTGCGCTGGCGTCAGCACATCAGACGTTCGCCACGTGGACTTTCCACTCCGGCCCACACATGGTTTGGGGACGTCGATGTTCAAGTCACCGGGCGATGGACGGGCAGTACGGGGGCCATCTCCTGTGAGCTTGTGCGGGTTCTGGCGGGCGGGCCCTGCCGTCCGCGGGTCGCGAAGCGCTAGCGCTTGATTCCTTTAGTGCAGGGATTATGGTGATTTTCTCTCTATCATTGCATCACCCTGATCCTCGAGTCAATTACTCTTTCTTCTTACTGTGGAGGTCTTCGTCACAGTGAACTTTGTGCAGCCCTTTCTTTATACCGTTGCCTGCAAGCTGCTATATGTTTTCCTTTTTCTTTTTTCAGTAAAGGTCCAGGGTGTAGTAGCTGTCTCTTATACACATCTAGATGTGTATAAGAGACAGGTGCTACGTGGCACGGGGAGAAGGGGGGCGTGGGAGGTAACAACAAGTATATAGCGAGGACCAAGGCAAGGACGAGGAGGAGGAGGATGACGAA